CATATTCGGGGGAAGCATTTTCTGTAACCCCTAAACTTTCGAACATGCCTCGACCCTTGTGTCAGGCTGCGCCGCCGTGTCTCACAGCGAGAAGTTCGTTGAAGAGGCAGTAGGGGAGCACACACACAGACACAGAGACACAGACACACAGACACACAACAGACACACAACAGACACACAGACAAACAGACACACAGACACGCAGACGCACACACACACACACACAGAGACACACACACACACACACCACACACTCAGAGACACACACACACACAGAGAGAGACACACAGAGAGACACACACAGAGAGACACAGAGAGAGACACAGAGAGACAGAGAGAGAGAGAGAGAGACGCAGAGAGAGACACAGAGAGACAGAGAAAGAGAGAGACGTAGAGAGAGACACAGAGCGAGACGCAGAGAGAGACACAGAGACGCTGCAGAGACCGAGACAACGAGACAACGAGACAACGACACACCGACACACCGACACCACTGAGACGTGTCTCTTGACCCTAATTACACTAGAGCAAAAGGACCCTGTGATTTTCAGCTGATCGCAACTGCCGTGCCCATTTAGAGGTAAGGAGCTCAAACTACACGTCCTGGGTCCTAGCACTGATTGTTGTGCGCAGGTGTGCGAGGAGATTTGGACTGTCGATGAAGGCCTCTTTCCGTTCAGCCTTCGAGGGCCTGCAAAGATCAAGCTGTCCCTAAAGCCTTGAAGCCTAAGAATTCTTGAAGCTCTCAAAGCTCTAGCACCTCAATGCCATAGACAAGCTGTCCCAGAACCTTTCAACACGTTTGAACATCCCAAAAGCTCCAAAGTAGTCACCACTCGGGTTCATCTGACACCCCGAACCAAGGCTTAGGGTTGTTTTAGGGCTGTTTTGGGTTCGAGTTTAGGGAGACACGAGTAGCTCTTTGTGAAATTCCGCCAGGACGCCTAAAGGTTGACCGGAAAGCCAAGAAGTGAGCTGCTTCTTCTGCGTGGTCCATGGTTCCGGAGACCCTGCCAAGACCTCTCCTAAGCCCTACGTAGCTATATAGATGGATAAAGAAATGGAAATGGAAAAAGAGACAATATTTATGTATATATATATATATGTAAATGAACTAATCAAGCCCTGTAAAGCCGAGTCAGCCCTGGAGCTTTCCGGGTCAGCTCTCTTTAAGGGGTTACAGGGATTCCTGCTGAACCAAGACCGCGCCGCCCGTTGTTCTCTTTAACGCTCGCAGCCCACCCGCAGCGTCGCGCTGCTCCAAGGTTCATGAGTTCATGATTTGTTGAATTCTGTAGATACGATTAGATATATATATATACATATGTATATGTATATGTATATGTATATGTATATGTATGTGTACACATACATGTGTATATATATATATATGGGCGTCCGCCTATTGCGGTTCCCCTTATTTCTTTAGGTTTACATAAATGTATATATTTTAACCCTAAACCATCGTTATAACCACAGCAACAAGTCGATGATTATGTAGGTACCCCAAACCTATAGGGTTAAGTTTGACAGGTTTAGGGCTTAAGATTCAGGCATTTAAACGTCAGCCCGCAACGAAACCTAAACCCTAACCGCCCAACCCGATAGAGTTAAGGTTAAGTGGTTAGGGTTTAAGATTTAGGTATTTTTAAACTTTAAACCTAAACCCATAGAGATTTAACCTTAAGGGTTGAAAGTTCGGGCAGTTAAACCTTAACCCTGAACCGTTTAGGGTCAGAACCCTAAAACCCGACAGGGCTCTACAAGGAACAAAGGTTTTGACCCTAAAGGGTGCTGAAGGTATACATGCCCAGACCTTAGGGAGCCCGAACCATTCAACCCTACAGGGCCTGTACGATAGAACCTTAAAGCCCTATAGGGCTTGGGGCTTAGATCCCTAAACCTTGAATCCCATAGGGCTATGCCTACGTTTGTAGGGCTTTCTTCCCGGTGACGCGAGAATACTGTGAGCAAATGTCCTTTTCGCTACTTCCTGAGATTCAAAATATAAACAAACCATATCGTTATATGATAGAATTCAGGTTTTGCTTATCGGGGGATGGTTGCTTGAGCTATCTTAGGTAAGGTAAGGATTTTAGGATAGAGGTTTTGTTTGGCTGATTGGGGCGTGATGGGGTTACCCTCATTTTCTTATAGGATATTTACATGTATATAAATCAAACCCTGAACCATAGTTGTAACCGCAGCAAGAAGTTATAACCTTGTCATAAAGAAATTTCCGCAGAGCTCGTCAAATCCGATCATGATGTAGGCGCCCCAACCCTAGAGGGTTAAGGTTGACAGGTTTAGGGTTGAAGATTGAGGCATTTAAACCTAAGCCGGCAATTCAACCTAAACCCGAACCTTTAAACCCTATAGAGTTAAGGTTTAAGGGGTTGGGGTTTAGGATTTAGGCATTTAAAACGAAAACTCGAAAAGCTTCAATCTTAAGTGTTTGAAGTTCGGGCATTCAGACCTTAACCCTGATTCGTTTAGGGTCAGAACCGTAAAACCGGCTCCTAAAGGTTCAAAGATTTTAACCCTAAAGGTACTGAAGGTATACATGCCCAGACCTTAGGTTGTCGAACCATTGAACCCTGTAGGGTTTAACGGTTTAGGTTTAAGGTTTGGGCATTAATTACCTATACCATAGACCCTAAAACCCCAGAGCGCTTTCGTCCCGGTGACGCGAGAATACTGTGAGCAAATGTCCTTCCACTACTTCACGGGATTCAAAATATAAACAAAGAGGATAATTCAAGTTTTGCTTATCGGGGGATGGTTGCTTGAGCTATCTTAGGTAAGGTAAAGATTTTAGGATAGAGTTTTTGTTTTGCTTGAGCTATCTTAGGTAAGGTAAAGATTTTAGGATAGAGGTTTTGTTTTGCTTTTTGGGGCGTGATGGGGTTACCGTTACCCTCATTTTCTTATAGGCTAATTTACATGTATATCAATCAAATCCTGAACCATAGTTATAACCGCGACAAAAAGTTATAACCTTGTCATGTACATATATCCGCAGAGCTCGTCACTTTCACTACTTGCTGGTATTCAACATATACACAAACTATATCGTTAAATGATGGAATTCAGGAATTGCGTATCGGGGGATGGTTGCTTGAGATATTTTAGCTAAGGTAAAGTATTTGGGATATTTCGCTTGTTGGGGGCGTGATGGGGCTCCCCTTATTATTATGGGTTTACATAAGTGTATAAAAATCAAACCCTAACCCATAGTTATAACCACAGCAATAAGTTATAACCTTGTCATAAAGAAATTTCCGCAGAGCTCGTCAAATCCAATCATGATGTAGGCGCCCCAACCCTAGAGGGTTAAGGTTGACAGGTTTAGGGTTTAAGATTGAGGCACTTAAACCTAAGCCGGCAATTCAACCTAAACCCGAAGCTTTAAGCCCTATAGAGTTAAAGTTTAAGAATTAGGGTTGAAGGCGCAATCCCATATGGTATACGTATACTTCTGAGCAGAAAAGATACGGGAGACACTGCTTGCGATTCAGAACATTCGGAGCAGAAAGGATACAAGGGACACTGCTTGCGAATCAGAAGTTTAGGAGCAGAAAAGATGCGGTCGAGGTACCTCGGCAGGAGCACCATTAAACCATCAAACCATTAAACCAATAAACCATTAAACCATTGAACCAATGGTTTCCCCCTTATGAGAATCCCCTATTCTATTAAACCATTAAACCATTAAACCAATGGTTTCCCCCTTATGAAAATCCCTTAAACCAGTAAGCCATTAAGCCATTAAACCATTAAACCATTAAACCATTAAACCAATGGTTGCCCGCCATGAAAATGGTTTAATGGTTTAGGGGATTCTCATATGGGGGAAACCATTGGTTTAATGGTTTAATGGTTTAGGGGATTTTCATAAAGGGGAAACCATTGGTTTAATGGTTTAATGGTTTAATGGTTTAGGGGATTTTCAGAAGGGGGAAACCATTGGTTTAATGGTTTAATGGTATGGTTTAATGGTTTAATGGTTTAGGGGGGAGACCATTGGTTTAATGGTTTGAGGGATTCTTGGTTAGATGGTTTAAGGGAATGTGCAAAAAACACAGGGGAACCGCTATAGGCGGTGACCCATATATGTATAGATATGTAATCAATACATTTTTGTATGTACGGTATTTTATATGCATATATAGCTATACATATTCACACATATGGTAGTATATAGGTATATATAGGTAGGGTCAGAGGCAGGTTCGCGCTAGTTACACACATCCTTGCCTTATCTGCAAGCCTACTCAGTTCCAAAGAACCCATGAACCTTCAAGTGGCCTTGGTCCAACAGCCGGGTGCCACCACCTAGGCTCAGGGTTGACGTACCCAGGAGAGGAACTACGGGCTTGCGATGAGTAATAGAGGGTGATCGACAATCACATCGTGACAAAGTGTTGCTCACCCATTATACAATGTGTTAGTCTGATTGGTTGGACAGCATACCCCGCGCAGCAAGCCGGATCGGCGGAGCAGAAATGAGTCGCGAGAGAATGGGCTCAATCCAGAACCGTCCCCGAACACTCCGCTCTGGATTTAGGCTCGAGGCCTTCACAAAAACCCCAATACAGTATGTCACGAGCCTGACGGTGCCTCCTCCTTTGGCCTCTTGATAGATAACTTGCTTCACACTCCATCTGCCGGTGGGAACCTAGACATATCACAACTTGAACCAGTTTACTAGTGCTCGCCGCCTTAGCCCCTGTTCGTGGGAATGTTTCTGCCGCTTCAAGTCTACCCCTCCCCCCCCCCCCCCCATCGACACCTGATACGTTGGAGACTCTTTATTGGGTTCCTGCGTTTGTAGCTCAAGAGACCTCAGCAGCCGGCTCAGTGTGCTGGTCTAACACAAAACCTGGCGGTGGAGATTTGAGGCTTTGGCTTTCGGATTTAGCAAGCTTTGGGGCCTTTGGGGAAGAAACTTGAAGGCTCAAGACCTTTCAGGTTTTAGTGGGTGCCCTCGAAAGTTGCAGGCTCGGGAGGATGTGGAGATGTTGCTCACGCTCGCTCCGAAATTGAAGCCAAAGGACCCTCCGTTGGCGAAGGTGTCTTCTCTCCTTTTGTGTGCCCCCCCTTCTCTGTACAGACAAACTTGGGGCTTGTCAAACAACTTTTATTCAAAACTCTAATTCTTGTTAAGGGCTCCCTGACAGTCGTTAGTTTGTTGTGGGCGCTTCAGATCCCCTGCTCCAAAAACTATTTTGAAAGAAGAAAGCCTTGAGAACCAACTGCTTCCTCGGGCCTATCAACGCCAGGATCAGACGCAGAGCATCACGCTTCTGGGGAGGCGCCTCCTCTGGCAAGAGGCAGGTGAACGGAGCACGTGCGATGTGGCACTTTGAAGCGGATTCACCGTGCAGCTTGATTTAGTTTCAGGCCTTTCAAGGCCAGCTGCCTTGAGAATTTGAGATTCTGTGACCTGGACCCGGAGACCCTGTTCGAGTTTCTGAATTGTCCATTTCTGCTTGTCAGACATTTCAAGGCGGGGGCTAATTTTGGGGTTTAGAGACTGATCTCTTTTCAGGCCTTGCAAGTATTTCTGCTCGCCGGCGATGCAGTGGATACGTGGGGCCCTGAGCCTTCGTACGGTGCTTATGGTGGCGGCCTGACAGGTTGTTCTATGTTGTTCTCATTACGCAATACTAGCACCTCCCTTGATGCCAGGCGTAAGAGCAGCAAATGCTTGCTGAGATTTGGGGTTTGGGTGTCTGCCGTAACTGGGATCGCACAAGAGCCACGCTTCAGGATCAGCTTCAACACTGCCCTTTCCGCTTGTGAGCGGAGTCAGCAGTGGGAACAGGCTCGCTTCCCGGGGCGTCCTGTTGCTAACGCTTCCCCGCGGCCTCGCGGCACAAAGCCTTGGGCGTGAACCTCGCTAATTAAGGTGACGATGACCACAAGTGTATACTTAAAGCTTGCTGCTGCATAATCGCCGCTCCCAGTCCTCTCAAGCAGAGGCAACACATCATATCATGAACTCATGCATGCGCCCAGAGAGCTCACGCCTTCAGACGTCGTAGGTTACACTGTAGAAGGGCTTGGGTTCAACTAGGGCCGGGCTGGCCCTAAAGCCTTACACACCTCATCCTATTCTAAGAAGCATGCGCTGTAAAACCCTGAACCCCTAACTTTCCTAAACTCCACCTTAACCTTATCGAATTCACACTGCCAACCGAAGCGAGCCGGCATCAAGCAAGATGCGATGACATTGGCAGAGTCACCACTGGGTGCTGATACAGGTGTGGCTGGACTCCTGCCCTACCCTAGCCCTGGACGCATCAAGCCCTATATACCCTTCCACCATGAATTTACAAAATCCCCAGATTTGTTGATCCTTTAAGCCCTTTAAGCAATCAACCACGCCAAATGAAGCTAGTTCCAAGATGACTAGGTTGAGACGGCTCCAGGCACAGAAGGCCATTTCTCCTCTTTAGGGTCCTGAGCCCCTCATCCCAATGCTGATGCTTCGAACCCCTGAGAGGGAGTTAAGCGAGGCTTTCGGAGGTGGTGAATGATGTGTCAGGCTATGCTTTGGACCATGTATGTGTCTGTTTTAGCAGCATGTTGCTTTGAGCTCCAGGTGGTGAGCCGGAGATTCGGCAGCAGCCAGGAACAGGGCAGAAGAGGGGTCGCAGCGATCAGAGGATACAGGTTTGGGACTCGGGGCCTCTTTTTGCGAAGCTTGCATGGGATCCCGAGCGTGTGGCGCTTCTCTTGGCGCCGGTGCCTGCGTCTTTCGTCTCTGAGATGGATTTCAAGAACGTGTACAGTACTTGTCAAGCAGTTTTTTTGCAATGAGGGAGGTTTGGAAGCCGCAGAAGATACAGCTTAACATCAGTTCTTGCAACAGGCCCGTCCCATTTGGACCCAGCCGATTGAGAATGAGGATGTGCATCGGAACAGCATACCCAAGCTTCTACAGCCTCCAAAGCAAGACCCAGTGAAGAGGAGTTGTGGGGAATAGGATATCTGCAGCCGACGAGAATGCATTGCTGCTCGGCCGAGGATGCGGCACAAGCTTTGGCGGTGAGTTTGTTCGAGTCGAAGTTGTGGGCATCTGCCACCGGCTTGGATGTCACTTTGCCTGCAAGTGATCAAGAATTTTGCATTATGCGTTCACCGTTGCGTCGTGCATTCAGAGTCAGCAGTCGAGCATATGTGCGTGTGTGTCTACAATACCTCAGGCCGACAAGCTCTGGGGCTTACATATTGTTTGTGATCACGTTGCGCATGGAGAAGGGAAGCGTGGTTTTAGGAAGAGGGGTCGGGAGTTGAGGGCCCTGAGGCCTGAACTCCGACACTCTCCTTGCTCTGAAGCCCATACTGAAGCCCCTGCTCCCCTTGAGATTGCTCTTCATCTCCTAAAAGTCCCCGAAAGCCCCCGAAAGCCCCTTCAAGCCGAGCCGCTTCTTCGCAGGTCCGCGGCTTACTTCTGGGCCTCGGAAGCAACGCATCGACCGCCAAGGGCCGCGTCGCCTCCTTTTTCGGGGCCGCTCGGGAGAAGGGTTTTATGAGGTTTGTATGGGGTTTATGTAGGGTTTATATAGGGTTTATCATAGGGTTCGTATATAGGGGTTATAGGGCTTATAGGGTTCGCATATGGGGGTTATAGTGTTGACAGGGTTTATAGGGTTTAGGGGTCAATAGGGTTTCAGGTGTATATGGTTTATAGTTGAGCGTTTTAGGGGCTTTCGGCTTTAGGGCTAGCATGTTCGTGGGCCTTGGGTCAGCTGCGCCATTAAGGTTAAGTGCGAGAATCTTAACCTCCCATGCGCCCTTCATTGGCCTGAAATTCTTCAACCTACACCGCGAACTCCACAATTCCACAATCCTAAAGTAGCACTGAAGTGCAAATTCTGAAAGGAGGTGCGAAAATACCTCCATGCCCAAGACACGAAGCAAACCCTAAACCCAGGAGAGGTTCACGCCGTTGCGCCCGACTGCCATGGCAGAGTCTCCGGAGAAGACGCATCAGGTCGAGCATTTCCCAGAATAAGAACCGCTATAACCATGGCACTAGCCGTCCAGAAGAACAGAATAATTATGTTAGCAATAATTACCAGGCTTGAAGTCCGTTCACGTCCCTCCATAACCCAAACCCCATGGCAAGGAGCTTCTGCTCATGGCATTCCCGAGCTGTCTATAGGCTCTCAATGGCTCGTACACATGTAGGAGTTGCCACTCTAAAGTTGCGAGGCTTGAGGTTTTGAGGGGCCTGGGCTCATGGTTCGGAAGTCGGGGTTAGCGCTGAGCTCAACTGGCGCAAGTCTTGGAATCTCAGGCAGATGAGGGTCAGGCTTTGGAGTTTTGACTTCGGGCAGGGCATGAAGCTGAACCTTCTTCAAGATGCAGTGTTTACCTATGTCTGTAGTTATATGAGTTTATAGTGCATGCAATGATAGGTGTGTATTGCGGAAGAGGGGGGTTTCAAGACGAGGAGGAATCGTATTGGAGCCAGGGCCGTTTTGACGATTCCTTTTGCCTCTCGAGGTTGCAAGCTAGGCTCTGAGGTAGAACTTACGGGAAGGATGCTTTCTTGTGCACTAGCCGCACAAGAATGTTTGCAAACGCCACTTGCACTGCGCACAACTCAGTGCGACAGGTAGGCACAGTGCCACACTGCGAAGGTGGCAAAGGGTTTGGAGGACTACAGCGCCAGCTCGCCACGAAATGAAGGCCGAAACTCGAGATGCGCTTTCAAGCTCTGACCTTCTGCTTCGCCCTCGAGGGTCTTTTAAAAGGTTCATTCAGTTTGGGGTTTTCGGGCCCAGCATGCCACAGACTTTGGGTGTTGTTGTTCGCAGCATCCGCCTTGTGGTTTCACCCGGACTCCCTCTGTGTTGTACCATCCAGGGTTCTTGTTTGCAAGTTCTGTGACCAGAAGCAGCCCCAATACCGTACAAGACGGCCCGGCCTTGAGGCGATCTTAAGCGGTTTTTCTTGTTCTACGTGTGTGTTTGCGTGGGTGTCTGCGTATGTGTCTGCGTGGGTGTCCGCGTGTCTGTCCGGTTGTGTATCTGCATCTGTCTCTGTCTCTGTCTCCGTCTCTGTCTCTGTCTCTGTCTCTGTCTCCGTCTCCGTCTCCGTCTCCGTCTCCGTCTCCGTCTCCGTCTCCGTCTCCGTCTCTGTCTCTGTCTCTGTCTCTGTCTCTGTCTCTGTCCGTCTGCGCCTGTGTGTGTGTGTGTGTGTGTGTCTCTGCGTGTGTCTGTGTCTCTGTGTCTGTCTGTGTGCGTGTAGCTTTTTAAACCTTTAGTTCCTCTGCTTGAAGGCGAGCAGCCCCCTGCCGCTGTGGAGTCGGACCCGGAGTGGACACCATCAGACCGGACGGAGGCGGATTCCCCGGCCCAGGAGGCGAGATGGGAATCGTGCTTGTTGAGTGCGGCGGAGGAGGAGGAGGAGGAGGAGGAGGAGGAGGAGGGAGGAGGAGGAGGAGGGGGAAGGGGGGTGTTGAGTGGTTACCTAGAAAGGGTGCAACAGCAAGCTTGATGGCTGAAGCTTGTACACATCGCAATTGGCCCATGAGGAGTAAGAGAGACAGCATCGACAACAGTCACCAGGAAAAACAGAAGCGAAGGTTGGCGATTCGCGAGTTTTCAATGTCCCCAGCTACTGTATCACTCAAGCACCGTGTACTCATTGTTACCCTACCCTGCGCAAAGTAACCTGTACCGTCACCTGAATTTAGGACCTTGCCAAGCTGAGCTGTAGTTGAAGGTCCCGGCGACCACGGCCCACTGCTCCATGTCTCCGGGTGTACTCTCACTGCACTCAGGCTTTTCAGGGTCTTCAGGATCAGGGTTCCAGGGGGGGGGGGCTTCAGGGGGCGCTTTCGGGTTCCACAAGGTTTGTTTTTGTTGAGGGTGCTCGGAGAGATTCAGGGTAGTTAAGAGCAGGGGGGGGGGGGGGGGGGGGGGGGGGGCATTCTGTGAAATGTGGCTTTGCTGCTTCGAGGGTATGTTGGGTTGAAAGTTTGGGCGCAGGCCCTGACGTGGCAGTTGCATGTGCAAGGAAAGCCTCATTGTGGCGCACTTGTCCTGGCGCGCAGCAGCGACAGCGCTGCGGCACAGCTTGAGACTTAGTGCGATGCAAAACTGAGTATTGTGCAACCTCCAAGCTTCGGGGGCTGTTTCAAAGCCATTGTGTTTGTTGCATTGGTCCTCGTTTGGTTGCCGATGTGCGAAAACTCTGAGAGAAAAACCTCCGCTGCGTGCTCGAAGTCAGGTCCCTTAAAAGGGCGGCTGAAGCCTTTCGCCAGTTCGGAAGGTAGCAAAAACGATTCGTTGTGCAGAAGTGCGACAGGCAGCCCTTTTGCAGATTGTTTTGGAGTTGCGGGCACCTGCAAGATCGCCCCGCTCTCAAAGAATTTTGAAGGCCTGGACGTGGCGTCAGTGTACCTTGCCTCCGCGATGGGAGGTGACATGCCCCTTCGCTGCTCGACTTGCATTTCAGGAGTCGTCTGCACAGGGCCTTGCAGCATTTGGTGTGTAGCTCAAATTAGGGTTAAAAGGTTTGGGCTGGGGTTTTCGAGAGCTTCTTGGTCTGCCGAGATGGACTAGCCCCAAGGAGGGTTTCAGTCAGAGCTGGCTTGCCGGTGTCGTGTCAGTTGTACGTAGTCCCACTGCCTCTGCCAAGCGAGTTATTGACGCGTTTGTACTGCGAGTGTCTGGACATGCACCGTCTGCACACATCGGGAGCAAAGGGTGTGAAGATGCTTTAGAGACATGAGAGACGTGCATGGGGCCCTGCTCTGAGGCTGGGAAGAGATTCAGGCCTGCGACATGGAAACGCTGCAGGACGGGCTACAGATGGGGGATCCGGCACACACGGCATCCTCTTGAGCTACAGAACCACTCCCGCAACCTCCAAAAGTTAAAGGGGGAGTCCCGAAAGCAGCCTCCAAAGTCAAGTTTGTGCGTGGACAGGTATCCCTTGACCCTGTGCCCTATGATTGCCGGGGCCGGGCATTTCCGGCTCACGGGCGGGTCCGAAGACCCTGCCAGGATCGCCTCGGTGCCGTGTTGCGCGGCTTGCTGCGTGGGCTGGAGGCTCTGACAAGATTTTTGCAAAGCAAAGGGAGAACTTCGGATCGTTGGCGTATACCGTTTCCCTCCTCTGCAGTTGTACAAATAAGTGATTCGCACAATATGTGCGTTGCAGGTCTAGAGTTTCAAGCATTTCCGGAGCTACGCCCTCCCCGTTGCGCAGCATACACAAACCAGCTTGGAACGAAGAGTTTGAAGCTTTGAGCTTGAAAGTTGGATCGTCATGTCAAAGACGCAGAGGATCTGGTCATATCTTGGGCAAGCAGGTATAGTACAGCAATGCAGTGCTTGCTCCGCGGCGCAGTGCCAGTTGTCTCATGCATGTTAGCTCTTGCTTCCATACCTCCCTCTTACTTTGAACCTCTGGTGAGCAGCCGGGTGAGCAGCATGGAGAGCCACGCTGGCCATCACAGCAGGATGGTGATTTCCGAGTCTGCGCATGCCTGACAGCCACATGTCATATTTGCTTCTGTACCTGTATGAAGAGTCATTTGCTGGGTTTGTTTTCTTTCTTTCCTATTTCATGACCAGGGCCAATCACCCTACGTGGCTGAACCTGTTTCGGGCTTATCCAGGGTTTCTTGATCCCGAGTCGCAGGCGTGCGATCTTCGACTGAGCCGGCTGGCCGTGGAGTTGGACTGCCTGGACGACGGTGAGGCAGAAGGCGCATTTTTTGCCGGGCTGGAAGGTCACCAAGTCGATTCGCTTTTTTGGTAAGCAGCTTTATTTCTGGACTTCTTTGGGTTCAGGATGTTCAGGATGACCGTACGGTGGCAGACCATAAGGCCAGACTCCTAGACATAGCCAGAAGAGTAGTACAATGGTAGAAAGGCCCATGAAACGCACTCGACTGTACTGCGCGTCGTCCGTTAAAAGAATACAACCTGCAAGCAGGGACTAGCTGCAGCGTTTCTGGACTCGCTGCAGCTTCCAAGTACTGACTCACGCTTGAGGCAGCATGACGATGCTGGGGTACGTGGCAGGGGAAAGATGCCGATCGTGCATGATGAGTGCGCGATGCCTGTGTAGATGAGAACCTTTAAGCCACAACCCTGGTACGTCTGTGTGTTGGGAGGGTTCCCAGGCACTTGGTACTCATTCCGTTGTCAGGCTGCCCCATGCAGTTCAGACAGTTCACCCCACGAATCCAACGTAAGAAGTTGGCACTTTTCCCAACCGGCCAGGGCTCTTCGGCTCCGAGGGCAAGCTCAAGGAGGATTTGGAGGAGATCCAGGAGCCCTCCCCTGGGTTTAGTTGGACTCTGCGTGGGGTCTCTCCAGGTTTTTAGGCTTCTACAGGGCCTTCAGGGTTTAGTTGCCTGCTATTGGCAGCCCGAAAGCCATGAACGAAGAAATGCAAAACTTTTTCGCACAAACGCCAGGTCATTGCACAGCGATCTGCCGTGATAAGAAAAGCTAGAATCAAAGCGCCGCCCTGTGCTACAATAACTAGCGGAACTAGCGGCTGCTAGCCTCCCTTCTGCCAGGCCGCACGAGATTGCAAACAAGAGTGTTGCGTATGGCGGGCTTCTGCATAGCTTTGCTAGCGTGAGCACACTTTGAATCGTGATCTCAGCAGCAGCCCGCGAAGATCATGACAAGAATGACCGTTAATGTTCGCATGGGATGTGTAACGTTTGGGCGAATGTGAACCCTGCGGTCCAAACGATCATGCTAATAGGTCAGCAAAGCCTTGGGCAACAATTCTAGCAGCCTGCACAGTCTACACCTAGCCTCCTAGCCTACACAAAATTCCCAAAACTCAAGGCCACACCCCAATCCGCAAAACATACGAAAACAGAAAAGCAGAACACATATAGAAAGAACAAGCCTCCAACACCCCCCCCCCCCCCCCCCAAAGGGCCCCAAGCCCAATCAAGAACATCTAACTTGCAGGCAGTGCGTGGAGAGGTGGCCGATTTCGCAGAGCGGGGCCACGAAGCTGCACCCCGTAAGCCTCGAAATCTAACCCAGTCTCGGGGAAGAATAAGTCTCCTTAATTTTGTGACTTGCTAAGCCTTACGATACCAAATCCCCGGTGCCCGAAGGACTGCCCTGGATCTCAAAACCATCCAACACCTGTCGGCTGCACAACTTGAGAAACTTCAGCAAGGTCGGCACTGGGAAGCTTCGGCACCACGGGCCCTGTCCTCAGTCCAAGTCCTCCACGCATCACTCATTTGGCCCCCTGAATCCAAAGTTCATCCCATTATCTCTGCGAGGCGTTGGGTCACATTGTGGGCCTCGAAGCCATCTCCGACTTTGTCGGCGAGGCGGCAGTAGGTTCTTCGCATGTACAGCTGTGTTTGAGATGACCTTCTGCACTCAACATTCGCTTTCGCAATAAAGCGTTCCGAAACTCCAAAGCCCTCACAATTCCGCAGTTCTACTCCTACCCATCTACAGTTCTACAAGCCACAGGACCCATATTAGGCCTGCTAGCCTCAACCCTGAACCCTGCACCCTCGCTTTGAGTCCTCCAGGCAGTACCCGCCCTGGACGAGTTCGTGGCCCACTGTGGGGACTTTGCGGCTCGGCGGCGCGCGGCCGTGGCTCGGGCCAAGGCAGCGCTTTGGATTTCTAGGGCTTGGAGGGAGGTTTTGGGTTTTTTTTTGGGGGGGGGGGGGGGGGCTCCCGAGGTTTAACTTTTGAAGGTTTTGGGGTTGTAGGGTTCAGGGCTGTTGGGGTTTAACGATTTTCGGGCTTTGGGGGTTTAAGGGTGTATGCGTTTAGGACTTCCGGGCCTTAGGGTTTAGGGCATGGTATATACATGTTCTTCCTTTTGAGTGCCAAGAAAGGCTGTTTCTGACACAATAGGGGCTTTAGGTTCTGAAGTTTAGGGCTTTTGGGGTTTACAGGGCAGGCGTTTCTGCTCAAACGACAGTGTTTTGTGGTTCGTGCCCTCGAGCCACATCTTGCTGTTCTTAGCAAAACCCCAGCGTCCATTTGTTGACGCGCTGCAATCGGCCTCGAGGGCCCTTGCGTGCCACCTACTGTGGCTTGGTTGGCTTCCTGGGGGAAGCTGGCCCGCTCCCATCGTGGTGAGGGAGCTTGCATGCAGCTTGGAGCAGGCTGCTTTCACGTCTGGTTAGGCTGTGCCTTGGGCACCCTCCTAGCTGGTGTGCGCATCGCGCTTTGGGCAGCCAGCCCCAACGGCGCGCCGGTGCCGATCTCCTGGGTGGCACAGGAGACTCCGGCTTCAACGAGCCCGTGCAAGGGCCAACCTCCGCAGGGGTATCTCTCGCCCCGGGGATCGTCTACGACTTCTGGCGCACCACGGCAGCATGCCGCCGAAGGCAAAAGAAGAGAAGATGAAGGGTGGAGGCTCGAAGGGTTCCAAAACTACGACCCCGACTACCAGTACAATCAAGTTTGTACCCCCAGCTTCAGTCATCTCTGCACTGCAATCACGCGCCGGCAGATTGCATTCGGCGGTGCTGGCAACGGAGGAGGCCACGGCGACGCGCACCATGGCTCAGGAGGCCAACTTCGTCGCAACGCAGATTGCACGAGCCTCCAAACGTCTCGAGTCCAACGTGAAGGCCAAACAGGACCTGGCTGGATCTGCTTTTGCGTGGTTTGCACGGCTAGCAGACCATCTCCTTCACCACCTTGCGGATGTCGAGCGGCAGGGGAAGGAATTGGATGTGGACACTATGGAGGCCTTGCAGCTCTTGTCGACTCACATGAACCCTCCCGCCTCTGCTGCTACGCAAGATCTGCTGGGGAAGGCTCAGGACAGCCTGGGAGCCATCTGGGGGCCCCATATGCCGAGCGCGGTGCAGCAAACCAGGGATGTCCTCAAGAATCTGGAGCAACTGGGTTCCTTGCCGGGAGACCACTTACGCCCGGCAGTTCCAGGGTTGAGTGCGACACAATTACAGACGTCTGCAGCCCCTACTCTGGCAGGTGTACCTCCCGGTCTCTCTGGTTCGGGAATTGCCTCTCTGCCTGCACCGGTTCAGCCACCACGCACTCCGGCACTGCCACAGAATCGTTGGTCCAAGCGCACGACTGCGTGCCCCGCTGCGGAAGAACGTCCCAGCAAGAGCCCGAGGACAACATCCACCGACACCGCCAAGTCACTGGATGGGGCGCCCTTGCCTTCCTCGGCGGTGTTTGGGCCGATCCTGCAAGGCCTCCATGCGGAGGAAGCAGCGATGGATACTCCGTGGGCCAAGCTGGCCACGGGCCTGACGCCACCGCGAGAGACCAAGCCGACAATTTCAACGCTAAGCCATGATCGTGTCATTCAGAGGTTTCAAAACCAATCAGAGGTTTCACAACCAAACACATGCATGTAAAATAAGCCAAAAAAACCTGTATATAGCATGCATTATGTCAGGATGACTGCTTGATGAGTTGAAAAAATGGCTGAAAAAAAGATGGTTCTAAAACATGGGCTCTCAAAAAAATGCTTTTTAAAACTTAAATAAAAAACATTGTCAAAACGGCCCCAAAAAATTGACTCTAAGCTGCACAGCTCAATGTTCCAGCACAGTGCTTATATAGTTGTGCCTTCAAAGCCTCAGTAATCCAGCAGGGAAACCCTGAACCCTAACCCAAGGAGCAAGTCGGCACTGTGCTGAAAGGCGCTGCCTCCAAAAGGTTTGTGCCGAAAGGCGCAGCCTTGAATCCGAAACCCAAAACCCTAAACAACAAACCCTGGACCCTAACCCAAGGAGCAGGGGTGCAGCTCAAAATCGAAAGGCGCTGCCTGAGCAGAGCAAGACCCAATTTGTCATTCCAGGCTCAAGGGGGGCACAGGGGCGATCATGCTGTCAAACCAAACTGTAAACTGTCAACCCCAGCCCCCCCCCCCCCACCCCCCCTCTCCTTGCATTCTGGGCAAGTTGCGACGACCCAGATTTGTTCTTCTTCAGCAGTCCTGCCCTCGGCAAGGGTTTTCCTAGTGGTTTGCTTGAACAGGTGGATACTGGTAAGTTCTTCTGGGCATGAGCAGACACTGTTGATCCTGTGGTGAAGCCATGTGAATGTTGACTTTTTGCTTTGTCCTGTTTGTCGCTGTAAGGCATGTTGCTTCACTTCGAGAACTCCACACCAACAACACTGTGCGGCACTAAGCTGACAGTAGTGCAGAAATGCATTTCAGAGCTGTTCTTGCGGTTTGTGTGTGTGGGGGGGGGGTTTGTTGTCAGTGCACAAGTGCCACTCTGCCAGCAGTCATGAAACGAATCAGAATGTGACCCTCTGAAACCGTTGAGGCTCAAGTGCAGGGCTCATACAGTCGGTCACCGAAACACGAGCAGTATAGGTGCGATAGAGAAATCTTAAAGGACAGGAATTCCACTGAAAGGCTTCTATGCACAGGTGCGTCCAAAAAAACTGACGCACTCGGTCACCAAACATGAGCAGTACAGGCGCAATAGAGAAATCTTGAAGGACAGGAATTCCACTGGCTCAATGGGGAAAAAAGAGCAGAACCTGAGAAAGAAGAACACTCCCAGTGGCCGGGAGCGCAAAGACTTGCGATTGCAGTGCAACGACTTGAAGCAGAAGCTTAAAGACCTGCAGGCCCGGCATGTCCATTCATGGGAGTTGTTTTTTGTTGACCCTACTTGCCCGGACCCTGCTGTTGCCCAGAGGAGAAGTTTGACAAGCTGCAGCAGGAGCATAACCTCGGTCTCGAGGCCAATCTAGCTCTGGTGCAGGAGAGAGACCTTCTCTTGAAAGAGAACAAGGCCAGGTCGGGAAGCAAAAACATGCAAACACTTGCAATTTGCAATCTTGAAACATCCCTCAAGCTGTTGCCCAGAGGAGAAGGTTGACAACCTGCAGCAGCAGAAGGATGACCTCGAGCAGCAGCATGACCTTCTCTTGAAAGAGAGCAAGGCCAGGTCGGGAAGCAAAAACATGCAAACTCTTGCAATTTGCAATCTTAAAACATCCCTCAAGCTGTTGCCCAGAGGAGAAGTTTGACAACCTGCAGCAGCAGCAGCATGACCTCGAGCAGCAGCATGGCTTCGCCCTCCAGGTCAACCTAGCTTTCCTGCAGGAGAGAGACCTTCTCTTGAAAGAGAACGAGGCCAGGTCGGGAAGCAAAAACATGCAAACACTTGCAACTTGCAGTCTTAAAGCATCCCTCAAGGAGCTAAAGTCGTTCCAGCCAGCGCTGCTGAAAGCTCACAAGGAACGTATCCTTGAACTCCGGATCCAGAAGGCAGACGAAATCACAAAGGCCGACCAAACCGGGTTTGGGGTTGAGGGGTGCATGTTTGTCTTTAGGGTTTAGGGTTGGGGGTAAATGTTGAGTTGTTCCAGGCAAAAGAAGCCATCTTCGCGATGAGACTGGAAGAGTTACAAGCTGCCGCCTTGCAAGCTGCCGCCTCGTCTGCTGCAGAGTCGCAATCGCCCACCACGGTTGTAACACCCGACAAGGAGCCCGAGGATTCAGATTGAGTGGCTTGGGATGCACTCGGACTCCATACCCTTACTTTGCTAAACCTCTAAACCCACTGAAGCGCCGTTGATCTCCCAGGAACACCAGGATGATGTGGGATGATTGTGGCTACTTGTGCGGTCTTGGAATACTTACCAGTGATCTTCTTGGAGTTCTTGTGTTCCAGAGCTTTGTGAGTCGGCCCATCGTTGCGTCGATCATGTTTGGAAGGCAGTGCGACCTTCACTGTTTCACCAAATGCTCGCAAGCACAAGTGATAGCAAAGAAGCTTTGCTTTCTGACTGTGAGCTGGCTGACTCTGATCTTGATGTTTGTTGTCAGCGCACAAGTGCCACTCTGCCAGTGACCCTCTGAAACCGTTGAGGCTCGAGTGCAGGGCTCATACAGTGGGTCACCGAAACACAAGCAGTATAGGTGCAATAGAGAAATCTTAAAGGACAGGAATTCCACTGAAGGGCTTCTATGTACAGGTGCAGCCAAAAAAACCTGACACACTAGGTCACCGAAACACGAGCTGCCATGGACCCGCGGTCTGCTCTGAAGTCAAAAGCAAAGCCGACGGAGCCACCTGCACCTTGGCTGGATGCGCAGCGGACCTCAGAGCAGCAGCCGGCTCAGATGCTTCAGACTGCTCTGCAGACGAAAGCACAGCCGACGGAGCCACCTGCACGGCTGGATGCGCAGCGGACCTCAAAGCAGCCGGCTGAGCAGGAGCAGGGTGAGGTGGAGCTTCAGGGTGAGGTGGAGCTTCAGGGTGAGGTGGAGCAGGGTGAGGTCAAGCAGGGTGACGTGGAGCAGGGTGACGTGGAGCAGGGTGAGGTGGAGCAGGGTGAGGCGGAGCCCCGGACATGTTTTGGATTTTTCGTTTGATGGTTTTCATGTGTTGTGCAAGTCCAGTCAGGCACTTAATCCAAGTCTAAACTTAGGTGACTGCAGAGCACATCCGCTCCAAGTGGAACCAGTTCGTGGATGAGCTCCCCACTTGGTGGAGCCACCTGAAGGTCAAGGGCTCCGGATCCGTTTCAAGCTCCTTTGACCGACTGCACAGCTGACAATTGCAACACCCTGGCAAAAGAAGATTCGCTGTTCTAGAAGTCTGCAGAGAATCCAAAGACCGAAGCCCTGGTGTGTCACAAAAAGCTG